AGAAACAGAAAATGTCGTCGGACATTTTGTTAACAGCGCCCGGCTTCTGCCAACCCAGTTCCACGAGATTCTTCTTTGCCGCGTTGATGAGACCTGGAGGTCCACATAGCAAAACTTTTGACGCCGAGTCGTTTGACGGCAGAGGCATCCGGTTCATGAGGATATCTTTTGTGACATATCCGGTACCGAACTTCCAACCTACAGGGGCGTTGTCGAGGAGATACCAGACCTTGAGGTTCTTCGGATAGACCTTTGCCCATCGGTCCAGGTCACTTCGGAGAAGAATCTCGTCCTCGGCGCGATTTGCGTACACAAGGCTGACTTCGGTTGTATCTGTATCATCTTCACAGATCGCCCGGATCAACTGATACATCGGAGTGATTCCAGTACCACCAGCCACCATGCCGATCTTCTTGGCATAGCCTTTACGATACTTCATGGCGCCTTTTGGTCCTCTGAAGTCGACTTCGTCGCCCACATTGAGCGTGGAAAGATAGCCACCCGTGAGAAGGCCGTCGTCGTAGATCCTGATGACCAGCACCAACACTCCAGGATCACGGTCATTGGAAATCGGCGTGTATGAGCGTGTTACAACCTGGTCTCCCACTTTCGCTTTGATGGCGACGTGCTTGCCAATAGGCAACCCCAACACCATGTCTGGCGAGGGGAGTTCGAATGTCAACCTCACTAGATTCAGGCCGCTCAGAATTTCCTTCTTGATCAACGGGAGGCTTTGGTACGTATTAGGGCTTAGGAATCCCTTGGGGTGATGCGTGGGTGTCGCGACGGCCTTGATATGTGTTGGGTAGCCCAGAAACCCAGATTTAATGCTGGCTGCGTGAGAGGCTTTGATGGCAACGCCGGCGAATACGGCGAGAGACAGGGTCAAAGCCACCACAAATCCTCGCACAAACCCGCCATCGCCAATGCCCAGGAGGTCTGATCTGTTGAGCTTGATAGCCTTCACCACTCCCAGATTGAGGCTGCGTAGACTCCATTGCGGCAGATTTCTAGTGGCGACCAGTCCCAGTGCAAGAGGGCCGCCGGCCACGGGGAGGTATTTCAGTTTCAAGAGAGAACTAGAACCGCCCTCTTTCCTTTGGGTTGTGGGTTGGTTTTGAGGCACCGCAGCCCTTTGTGGCTTCTGGGCAACTTTAGAAGCACCTTTGATTGTCCCGCGCAGGAAAGGAGCCATGATTTCTTTCGCGTCATCGGAATGGCCCACATCTTCATATGCTTCCGTCGCATCTTGGCCAGCGACTTCTATGAGGGACTCGATACCTCCAGGGTGTTCGACGAGATAGTTTGTGATATCGTAGACTATGAGTTTGGGGCTCGATCAGCATAATGTCATTCGGCAATTGCTGGGAAATTGGAGGAATAAAATAGTGTACCTTTTCCGTGAATGGTGATCCATACGTCGTCTTTAGTGTTGTGTTTGGCTACATCTTTGACCGAGAACTCCTTGAGGCCTTCACTACCCTTTCGATCTGCTTGGAGACCCATGGTTTCTGAGTGCGCTAGGTAATGGGAGAAACCCTTAGACAACGACCCTTTGGCTCAGAGACGAAGAACGACAGTTGTCGCAGATCAAACTTGACGACACGGGGAGATGCAATAGATGGATGATTTTCGAAGATGAATGTCTTTTTCCTTGAGCCTTATATGTCGCCTCTATCGAATGGACGTGACTTGCGTCAAAAAGCTGTCGCTCTCCTGGGTTCCGACGCATTTTGTTCCATATTGCTCAGGCAACTATGCTGATCCGTGGTGGAGAGTCGTGGATTGTTGGCAACCAAAGGCTCCGACACAGCCGATCGCCCCTTGAAATGTTCCAGGGCCCGAGATAGATCCCAATATTTCGAATCTTTAATCTGGACAGAATTGGCTTGCCATTCCCGCTGTGGGTTTAGTGTCTAACGGACGTATCGTATAGATGGCGCTAGGAAGGTTGAATTTGCTTAGCGTGAGACCCACGTACAAGGCAAGTGTCAAGGCTGTTGCCCCTGCCAGCTAAAACTATCGCAAAACGTTAGTTGGTTGTACGCGGTTCACAGGCGGGTTCAGTCCTCAATCCCTGTGTGGCGTCATCGACCCTCAGTTACCCCAATTCAGCCTCTGCAAGGTTCAATTTGAATTGGTCCACCACTATCTGCTTGAGGCATTATGTGTAACACGACAGCAGCAGCTGGTGTCCATTTAAAGGGCCCTGAAGGTCGGCGAAAAGGACACTCTAAACAATCTACATTGACTCTCTCTCTCTTGCTACAACAAATATGTGGAATCCTCCAAAGAACTACGAGCATAGACCAGTCGCCGTTCTCGGCGGCGGAGTCCTAGGCAGGCGAATTGGTGAGAAAAGGCCTGCACATAACTTACCGATGGATCGCACTGACACATTGGATAGCATGCTGCTGGGCAGCAGCCGGGTGCAATGTCACCGTACGAGACCCAGGCGCTCAACAGCGCAAAGACGCCGTCGACTATGTCACGCAACACGCTCAGCAATACGCCGAGTTGACAGGAAAGACACCAGGAACTATTCAAGCATTCGCCGACCTGGACCCTGCCGTGAAGGATGCTTGGATTGTTTTCGAGGCAGTCCCGGAGAATCTCCATCTGAAAATCGAGACTTTCGCTTTGCTCCAGAAGCTGGCGCCTGCTGACTGCATTTTGGCATCCAACTCTTCCTCGTACAAGTCCAGCGAAATGCTAGACAAAGTCGATGAGGACACAAAGCTCCGCATCCTCAACACACATTATTTCATGCCTCCGGAAAACCGCCTGGTCGAGATCATGACGGACGGCTATACACATCCAGAAATCCTCCAATTTCTGGCCGCTCGTCATCGAGAAGCCGCTTTGATTCCCTTCATCGCCAGGAAGGAGTCAACCGGGTTTATTTTCAACCGAGTCTGGGCCGCAATTAAACGAGAAGTCCTCACGATTCTGGCAGAGGGAGTTTCGACACCAGAAGAGATCGACAGCATGTGGTACTTGTTTTGGGGTTCGAAGATATCCCCTTGTCGCATGATGGATCGTAAGTTTGCCCCATGCGTCGGTTTCAAACATCCTTTGACCCCCCATTGCAGAAGTCGGCCTCGACACCGTCACTCTCATCGAACAACATTATGTTCACGAGAGAGGTCTTCCGTCGGAGAAGACGATCGGTTTCTTGGAGGAAAACTACCTCAAACATGGTAAACTGGGTAACAAGTGCTCCAAAGGTGGCTTATATCCCCCGACACCCCAGGGAATTTCCGACGGAGGGATCGTTTTATTAGACTTGGGTATTCCAAGCTCCTTGAAAGGAAGTCCAAGTCCCCGTGATATCGGAGGCAAGGGCAGGCTAGTGAAACTCTCCAAGGAGGGCAAGAACGTCAAGACGTTAGTATCTGGGGCCGGCTTTCCCGACGGAATTGCATTCAATCCTTTGGAGGGGCGTCTCTACTACACAGACATGGGCACATTCGGCAGCAATGATGGACGTGTTCTGTCATGTGATCTTGACGGAAACGATCAGCAGGTTATTATTCCCCGCGGCGGTGTCCACACTCCAAAACAAATCGCGGTCGATGAGTTGGCTGGCAAACTCTACATATCCGACCGCGAAGGTCTTCGCGTTGTAAGAGTCAATCTGGACGGATCCGATTTCGAGGTCATTGTGCAGACCGGGGTCTGGGAAAATCCTGAAGAGCGGGCCGATCAGACCAAGTGGTGCGTGGGCATGACCGTCGTTCCAAAGCTGGGAAAATTCTTCTGGACGCAAAAGGGACCGCCAAAGAGCGGAAAGGGGCGCATCTTCAGTGCCAACATCGATATGCCCCCGGCTCAGAGTCCAGCACGTCGTACTGATGTTCGAGTCATCTTCGACAAGCTCCCAGAACCCATTGATCTGGAGTACGACGAGGAGTCGAACAGTTTATTCTGGACCGATCGAGGAGAAATCCCATTTGGAAACAGTCTGAACAGATCTCAGCTCAGTGCTGCTGGGGAGACGGTCAATGGTGGATACGCTCGTTTCCCGAAACATGAGATTATCGCTAGGAATTTTCATGAAGCCATCGGGTTGAAGTTAGATCGCAAAAATAATGCCATTTTTGTCGCTGACTTGGGCGGCACTCTCTGGAAGACCGACTTCAATGGTGCCAACAAAGTCAAGGTGTACGAAGACAATGCGGGCACCTTTACTGGCATCACCCTCCTCCCATGAACGTCAGGGCGAGAGTTGCTCATACACTGATGGAACCTTGGGACTAGCCCTGGTTGGCAAGGACGACTCGACCGTTGTCACTTTCTAGCTAGAGAGTCACTAGAATCTTCGAGGTTGGCCTTTCGTTGGAGTCCACCTGCATCTTGGAGTCGGTATTGAGCAGCGTAGTTCGCGATGCTGATCCTCACAGTTTCTGAATACGAAATTTCGAAGGGTGGCAATATCACTCACTTCTCTAGGAAAAATTATGGATTAGGTTTCTTCCCTTCCAGCTCAATAACCCGCAAAAGTAGGCAATTGTATCCGCGTGCCAACGACTAGAATAGGCCAGCACCTACGTGGTGCAGATGATAAGCTTTAGTTCCACAATACGTGGTGCTCGTATGCTCCAATCAAGGCGAAGCCGGTGATAAGCATGTTGCGTCATCCAGAAAAAGGTTGTATAGTAAAGGCTGCATGTATTCTCAAGTCTGTGCAATGTTGCTTAACACGCCCCAGTGGATTCGGCTCGCCAGGGGGGAAAAAAAGCACCGAAGCCTGTCTGGGATGTCGAAAATCCCTCAATTTCGAGCAGCAAGCAGCTGTGTACAAGAAAGTCAACTTTAGGAGATTCGCAACTCCCGACCGGGTGAGCAAAGATTTGTGGATTTTATTTCCTGATTCTCCTAAGGAGACCTGATTGGGAGGGACATGCTCCAGAACCCACACTTATCTGCACATAAATGTGTAGATTCATGCAACCAGGACATTTGACAGGGATAGTTATTTGACAAAAGCCTTAATTGATTCAGAGGCCATTGTACAGCTTGGCGTATCGGAGCGGGCCGGCCATCAAGTTCCTGAAAAGCTGTAGGGTGGAAGCCACATCCTCCAAAGGAAATTGATTGGCTTCCATCACAGACTTTGCAAGAACCAAAAACTCGCAATTGATTCGCTCAATGAATTTGGGCCGGATTGACAAGGCAAGAGGTAGATTTCCAGCCGGCAGCAGAGGAGCGACTGCCAGATGAATCATCTCGTAACAGGCGAAGAAAAGCATCGTGAAAGGATCCTTTTGTGCCAGCTGTTCGAAGGCATTGGGGATCCAAAACATCCAATTTCGGATGGGAAATAGTGTCGTCAACTGCCGATGCGTCGATGGTGGATTCGAACCTTGCATACGCAAGTTGGTGATGTAGATTTTGAGTTCTTTAATTCCTAAACTGATACCCCTATAGCTCTCGGATCTGCCCAGGGTTTGCTGCATTTCAGATATAACCCGCTCGGCTCGGTCAAGCGAAATGTCAGGATCTATCTGTGCTAGTTGAACGGCGACCTCAGTATTCTTCGACGGAAGAAGGAGATACGAAAAGGTAGAACGGCAGTTCTCGGCTTTTACTTGATGCAAAACCTGCTTAACGAGTTAGCTAAAGTAATCCTAACATGGCGGAATTGAGTCCAGACCGAACAGATCCCCTGCATAGTATGCGCATATTCGTCACTATCTCTTCGTCAGCATGCGATTAAAAGAATGAGAGACCAGTGGGCGACCTCTTAGGAGCCTGCCAAGAAAGCAAAAGCGAAGCAGCAATTACTGCCTCAATATGCTCATCAGAGAAGTTCTCCAAACATTGACGAAGGCCTTTCAAAGCTACCCCTCTGTGATGATATTCCACATATACCATCGATGCCGAACGTGTGAGCAGGGCCATATGGCGAGCACCAAGCATGCAAACACTATGTAGAACAAAATCGTACGAGACTGCGATTTTAAGGATTCTGTCTCAGGTCAGGCAGGTTCTAAGATAGGGATAACGATCATGGCAGACTTACGCTGGCAGCACAAGTGTCCCAAAGGAGAGTTCATGGCTTTGGCATTCTTCTAGGCGGTGGCACATCCTAGCCACGTGGGTGAAAATGCAACGGTCCCGAAGTTGGACATCGGGAAGATGTGCTAGAGCAGGGCATACCACGGTCACTGCCTTTTCATGGTTTGGAGATGGGAGCCTCTGCTGGCTATGTTGCTGCGAGGACTGCTCCGTATACCCGCAACTGAGGTTTAGACGGCGACATCTCGTGCATTCTGGCTTGTACTCGTCACACCGAACTCGGTGCTTCTTGCATGTACTGCATCCGTTTCTGGATTTGATATGTGTTCGACGGATTTTCGGGACGCAAGGCATCTCGAAGATCCGTGTTCGCAGAAACCAGGAAGTGCGCCACACTGTATTTGAACAAAACCTAGGCCAAGTGCCATTTCACCCAACTGTATTTGAGGAAGATTGGGAGCCCGGCGAGTAAATGGGCTTCAATGAGAAGAGGAGGATCGTCAAGAAGGAAAATGAGAAGGAAATTCATTGATCAACGAAATCCTCCTCGCCCCTCTTCGTATGGGAATACGTTCTCCGAGCCAACCCCGGACTGCCACGTGACTGGTCTGGGCAACAAACCCGCCTTGTTCCGGACTCCGTTCGCTAAGGAAGCAGGCAGCAGAGTTAAAAATATAAATCGCGCCAGAGTTTTCGTGTTCAGGTATTAAAAGAGGTAGGGATGGAAGGTGAAGGGATCCAAACAACGAACTCACCTCAAGGCCTTGAAATGTAAGACCTACCCAGTACAAGTCGGTACCCGGTACTGTAAGAGTGCGGCGGCTGTTTAGTAGCTGGCGTTAGTGAGCTTAGTGACTGGATCGCGCAGCTAGCGCGACTAGTGTGGCTAACACGGCTAGTGCATTTCCAACGCCAAGCATTCTTAAACTGACAACAAGTTTTTCCCCCCTTTCCTTTTTTCCACTTCTTGGTGTGCCTGGTTAACCCTGGTAATTACACCATAGCGCAATTTACTTTGGACTATCTCGCTGATCGTCTTACGGGTTTCAGGTTTCAGGCTCACAGATTGGGACGACTTACCCTCGCCCGTGCGATCATGCTAACCGACATTCAATGATGCTCAATGGCCCTCGGCACTCCCAGATTTTGTCCAACACTAAGCCAGCTTCTTGCACAATACGCTCAAACTCAGCCGGTGTCCTTTCTCTTCCGTTTGTCATCATCATCATGTTCAAGTCCATCATATGGGCAGGACTCATTGCCTGGCCATAATTCGCCAGCAATGGCTTAGGGGCTGACTTGAGCTTGGGCGAGGGTATCGTGGTGTACATCAATATTTCGGCGATCAGCACGCGAGAGTTGGAATTCATCGACTCTGCAACCCGTGACAAGATGGCGATTGCTTCATTATCGGCCCAATCGTGGCTAGATGTGTGCATCACATACATCAGCCGGGGGCATTTGGAGAATGATCCAAGAAATTGAAAGGGAACGGCTTACATGATGTATCGTAGCCAGTATATTTCAGCACCGACGACCGGGTTTTTCTTGAAGAAGTCATGCGCAGCTAGTTTAACTTTACTCTCGGCAATGGCGGAAAGGTGTTTCGTCTCCCATACTGCAATTGCTTGTTGAATCACATGCTCCCTGTCTTGAATGACGAGCCTCAGACTAGGATGGTGGGCGTGGAGTTGCATGCAAAATGAACCTGTCCAAGTATTAATACACGGTGTTTACGGGTACAGCTCACATAGGGCGGGAAATTTGGGACTTACCAATCCCGCCGCCAACGTCCACGACAGTTGCGCCGTCCTCAAGATCCTTCCAAGGGAAGTCAAGAACGCAATACTGTTCGGTGCTCCTGCCTTGACCACTAATTGCAAGGTTAAAGAGTTGCTTCTCGGGCCGAGGCACCATCTTCTGGCCTGAATCACGGGGTGAAAGCGGTGCACCGTCCTCCTCGCAAGTGTGCCTACGCAGACTCCAGGGCCACCTGTTCGCGTCGAATTTAGGCACCATCTCGTTCATCCAGTCAAACAAGGACAGTTTCGTCCCCACGGCCTGTTGAAAGGCGGTCTTCCTTGGGTCGTAGCTATCTCGAATTGCAGGATTCGCCAATGCTTGAGGGAGAAAGTCACTGACGCGATACTGCAACTGGCCCCTGCGAACGGTCAAAAAGATATTCCACTATTTTTGCCCTTTAATTGACATGTCATTTCTAGTTTTTAGTGGTTGCCTCTTGCCTTTTTCTTGCTGTTGCTGGAGGGAGAAAAGAGATAAAAGAGCAAAACTTACTTCATAATAATATTGGCTTGAAACGCGGCATCACTGACAAGAGCTTGAGAGATGTGATTGTTGGCAAACCACCCTTCCTTGATCTCTTGGAAAATATGGTGTGAAGTCAACGTTCGCATGACTCGGCCTAGGGGTTGGGTGACTTCGCTCAGCGAGGCTATTCGACGTCATGGAGATCTCTGCGAACATACATAACTTTCCCTCTTCTATGCCAGTTACCCTGGCGAGATGGGCAGCGCTGACCCCGTCGTTCGTGTCCTGGGAAAGCAGTTCCGCAATCTCATGCTCGGCAGCTATATGCAACGCTCGTGAGACAAGGTAAGACATGGACAAATTCAGCAGGCGAGTGTGAGGGTCTAGAACAAGGCTCTCCAGCGAGCCCAGTGAGGCAATAATGGTTTTGACGGCATCACACTCGGCATGTGACATGGTGCTGCTAGTGTCCTGACTCGGAGATGATTCCCATTCGGACGCCAGATTCTCCACGGCGACCGAGAGTAGTGCCAGAATCTGCCGGAGCTGAGTAGCAGGCTTGTTGGTTCTTGGCGATGGCATGGCAGCTTGTTGCAGGATGGGCAAGGGAAGAGAACTTTTGTACGTATAGGTGGCCTTTCATTCAGATACGGAAACGCTTATGTATAGGTAGCCTGGCCACTCAAAAGACGGTGAGAACGAGCTGTCCTGCAGGACTTAGATTTTCGACCAGCGACAGACTCGTACTTAGAGACCAAGAATACGAGTAAAGAAGTGTTCCCGGGAAAACGTCGCCGGCATCGGAGACCATTTCAACGATACGGAGTGTATGGAGACATTTACATAGTACGGAGTATCCGTGGAACAGTTCCTTCGAGGCAATTAGCCCACGGGGTCGGGAATCCGATAATCCAGAGTTAGTCTTAGGGCATCCATTGCCTATTTGAATCCATATCTAGGAGCGGACAGTCGCATTTGCGTCTCCAAAGTCATTGAAACAGAGTGATTATTACCTTATAAAAAAGCAAATCACAAGATATTCGGTCTCGTGTATCATCACCGTTAGCACGAACAAGTACTCCCTATCTCGTGTGCCCATCGGGGATCTAGAGCGACTGCACGACGCAAGATCAGGGGGGCACAGAGAACAAGGGTGATGCAGGCGGCGAGTCTCCCATAAGCTGACGAGGGACTTTTGATAGCCTTATGGCGCTACCTATAATTGTGGAGACCTAACTTTTTTGATGTTATGCATGTGTGGTCCTGAGCCAATCAGAGGAGAAAAGCTGCTACCAAAACAGGCAACCCCGGCTCCCTAAAGCTCTACCCACCGAGATACAGGCAATCGAACATGAACGGCCCGAGAAGCCGTCCTAGGCGAACATGACTTGCTGGCTGGGGTAATATGTGGAAATCTCAATACATTTTACGTAAAATTGGGTCCCCGGAGCGATCTTGTGTTCGGAGTCAAGAAGATTGTGTCAATTGCCTATAATCTAGGTGTGCCGCTCGTCTCCGTGCAAAAGAGTCGAGTCACCACCAGTTGGGACTGGGTCTATGTCAAGTCAACCACATCTGCACGGGTATCTGGCCTCGGCTCGGACTTACAGCTCCCGCTTCTTAGTTCCTGGGCTTGGGGCGCGTTTGTGTTCCTAGTCAGTAGTTACCGGGCCTGATGCTGTGGGGTGAGAGCCGTGAACCACCTGCAATTCAAGATCTATTGGCAAACTCAACAATAGCCGACCGAGACCAACGATACGCATTGCCCCGAGGAAGCAGAGATCCTTCGTGGCTGGGTGGCAACATGCGACAGCGCCGCCATTCGACACCTAGATCGAGATCCTCGCACTATGCAGACGACGGATGGTCGTGTGCCCTTCGAAAGCCGTTGGCTTCTCGCCCCTTTGGGCTCCCCTGGTTTCGAAGAAAATCGAACCAGCCATGTTGCATTTCGGTTCGTAGAGCCTGATCCCGTCTTTCGAACGTAGCCCTTGTTCCATACTATTTTAGATCGACGAGGGTGGCGGATATCCCTGTGTCTGTCTTTTATCTATGCCTCGATCATGAAAAGAATGCAACATCAAGGTTCTGTTCTGGGACTTTCGTTTCGATCTTCCTTTTCCTTCTCTATTCACATTCTTGGATTGTTCTACCAATCTTTTCCCGTCGCTTTCGTCGGTTTAAGCTCCTTCCCTGTTGAATATGAAACGTGTGGTGATTGTAGGGGCCGGCCCCTGTGGCCTCGTCGCCCTGAAAGAGATGGTTGAAAGTGGACATGAAGCAATCTTGATCGAGCGTTCAGAAAATCTCGGCGGTGTTTTTGCAAGTGCGACGGCATATCCAAACTTGCATCTCACGATCAGCAACTGGGCCATGGCGTTCTCCGACTTCCCAGACTCAACGAGGCTGCATTACTCGACGGCCCAAGAATACCTGCACTACCTTCACGAATATGCTCGCCATTTCGACCTCCAACGTCATATAAGATATCACACCGAGGTGCGCAGCGCGACCCTGGGAGATGACGGGCTGTGGTCTCTAGAGATCCAGAATTCGATGGCATCAGAGCAATCTACTCTCCATTTGCAAGCAGATGCTCTCGTTGTCGCCACTGGGTCAAACGGAATCCCCAATCCGACGCCTTCAGGTCTTTCTGGGTTCGATGGTCGTCTGATCCACTCCTCTCAGTATGATGAAGCCTTTAAGCACGATGTCGCGGAGAAAAAACTGAAAGTGTTGGTGGTAGGGGGAGGCGAGAGTGGCGCAGACATCTCAGCAGAGCTGGGTGAATTGTCTCCCAATGTCACGGTCTGGCTGCGCCGCCCCATTTGCGTCGGTCCCCGATACCTGAACAAAAAAGACGAAATGCAACAGGTCAAGGCTAACATGACCGTCGACTTCCCGGCCAACGGCTTTCTTGAAGCTGCCACAACAAATCGTATGAGCGCTGGACAAAACGTGTACGCCTATGGCTTCTTCCGTAGGCTGCTCTGGTGTACGCCTGTGTTGAATGGCACCCTGTCACGCATGTCGCTTGCTAGCACCGCGTCTGCCTTTCTCCGGAACGATCAGGCCACATATGTTACCAAGAACCAGCGCATGTGTGAGGCTTTGCATGAGGGGAAGATCGAAGTTCTTGTAACGCCGTCCATCTCCGCCCGCGGTCGAAGTTGCGAGTTTCAATTGGCGGACGGTACGACACAGCGGCGCGACTTTGACGCCGTCGTCCTTTGCACCGGCTTCTGCATTGAGTTCCCATGGATCCATCTGCCCGGGAAAGTGCCCTTGTCCCCAAATCCACGTTCATGGTTTCTGAATTGCTTCCCAGAAGGATTAGGCCACTGTCTCTCCTTCGTGGGCTATGCGCGACCCCATCAAGGGGGCGTCCCTGTCATGGCCGAGATGCTGAGCCGATACATTGCACTGCTGCTTCGTGGAGAGAGGGACCTACCGCCCGATTACTCCGCACAAGCCACGCGGGATGCCGCAGCCTCGTGCGAGTATTACTCCCTGAGTCCAAACCTTCTCACGCTTGTCGACTATAACGCTTTCCTGGAGAGCGTGGCGCGACGGATAGGTTGCGAGCCGAGATTACCGGTGTTCTGTATACTGCTCTTCAACTTCCACATGGTGACGGTTCTGCTCCTGGCGCTCCACTTCTGCTGTTCAGCTTCGCCATTATTGAGTCTCCGCTTCACGTTGCTGATGTGGGCAGTGTCGATGGCCGGTTTCTTCATCTTGTACGACGGCTTACTTATCAAGTGGTGGTTCTATCCGCACTGGGCCGTGTGGTACCGCCAGCGCGGTCCAAATGCCAATCCTGCCCTGGTCAACGGGGTTTTGAAGCGAGTGAATTTGTGGAAGTCGACCGCCATAACTTCCGGCTTCGTCTTGCTTGTCCTCTGGTCCATTCCGACCTTCTATGTGCAGCGCATGCTCTCCGTCGTCTTGTTTGCGTCCAGTGCAATCCCAACTGCGCTCGGCATCCACTTCCCTGAGGCTTGGGATGTTCTACTCCGGCCAAAGCTCTTTTCTTTGCACGGCTGTCCGTGGCGAATGTCGGACCTCTACATGCCATGAGAGAGCGAGGCTTTATACCAAATGGCTTTGAATCCTCTTCTGATGATATATGTGCACCCGGCAAGCTGCACCGCCTCCTGGAAGAGGACGGCACCGTCTGAGCAAGGACCTACAAACAAGGTGTCAAGCTGAATTGAAAAGAAATGACACGCTCGAAGCCTTCGCTGTTAGAAACGGAGGGGGCCATCGTTGGCAATGAGTGCATTCCATGTACTTTTGAAAATAAAGGTGCTCTGTCCTTCATACGCCTTTAGACGTGTTCGAGATACCTACCACTTCGTCGTTGTCAAGCAATTTCCAATAAAGCCTGCCTTTCCCCCGTCTCGTCGAGAGCCCCGGCATCCAGTAGCTTTTGGATCACATCAACCATACCAACCACCTTCCTCTCGCCTCCAGCCAATGCTAGCTCTAAGTCAGTAGCACCACACCCTGCTCCTACCGCATTGACATTTGCCCCAGCAGTTAGAAGCACCTTTACAGTCTTCGCCCTGCCAAAAAGTGATGTTTCATGTAACGCAGTACCAAGTCGTCCTTACAAATTGACATCCGCGCCAGCATCCAATAATATCTCCGCTCCCGCTGGGTCGGGAAAACGTGATGCTGCATGTAATGGAGTACCAAAATTCCCTCCCGCTGTATTAATATGTGCCCCAGCATCCATCAGGATCTTCACCACCTCCCCATGTCCATGCTCTGATGCTACTTGTAATGCAGCATAGTCCTCTTCACCACGGGCATTGACATCTGCCCCAGCATCGATTCGCATCTTCACCACTTCTCCATCCCCATACTCTGATGCTGCCATCATTTCTCTGTCGACGCCTCCTCCACCTAAACTAGAATTTAGTAGTATCTAGACAACATTCTTGTGGCCATATCTTGACGCCGCGTAGAGTGCGTCGTTTCCTCCGACGTTCACATCGGCACCTGCATCGAGCAGCACTTGCACCACTTTTTCGTGACCTTCCTCTGATGCTACTGCCAATGGAAATAGGCCCGGGTACCCACCTGGGCTATCGGTCAGAATTTTCTTGTCAGTGTCACTATCCATGAGACCGAATAGCTCATGCAGCGCTTCGTCAAGCCCGAAATAGCACGCACAAATTATTGACGGATCAGTGGAGGTGGAGTCGAGGTCAAACGTCGCTATAACCCACGAGGAGTTCTGTCTTCTACACAGCCATAACCAAGTGCGGAGAGAGTCTTGTTGACTAAATAACCTCGAGATCAGTGATTTCAACTGGGATGTTACAGTTCCTCCGTTTCCTATAATGGTCGAACCAAAATGCAGCCGCAGCAAGGGCTAACAGAATTTGTTGACCATCTCACGAAGTGGCCCACTAAACAGTTCTGGCTCCAGGAGGTCCACCAAGATTATCTGTGCAATTTCCGCGTGCGCAGGAGCGGTTTGTAGCGCAAAATTTGCCGCCTTTTGCTTGGTGATCCGATCGCATTCGAGGTATTTCTGGACCGAGAAGTGAGCTAGACGGACTATTGGCGCCATTTGCATTTTCTCGCTGTCCTCATGGTCGTTGCCATCGTCATCGTTGCCCTTGTAGTCATTGCCCACGTGGTCATTAATATCGATCAAACCTGGACAAATATTGCCAATGTCATCTGCGTCCTGTAGTCGACGTCGACAACTCAGTCGTGCAGGTTCGTCAAAGTCGACTGCAATTCCCTCAATAAGTTCCGGCACTGTGAGAGGTTGGAATGAGAAGCACAATAGGCTCAGGATCCGCCGAGCATCCTCAAAGGAAGTCTCATCAATACTACAGAGCATCTGCTCATAGGTTTCGTCCAAACTTCGCGGTAACGAGTGTAAACATCGATCGAGGTGACTTTCGCTACGCGGACATCGTTTGAGAGACTCGAACTGACATTCGACCCAACGGAATCTCCAACTCTATCAGCCAATACTTGAACCCATCACCGACTCTGAGTTACTTACACGCCTTGAGCACGTTCAATCAGCGCATTTCTAATCCAGTCATGATGCGTTTTCCAATTTCGGAGTTTCGGATCGACGCCTAGTTGGCTCGAGATAAAGTCGCTGATATCTTTATCAATCCCGGCATTCTTCATGATCAGGATTTGGTTGTGGGCTGGGTCCAGCGAATCACGCATGTCCGATTCGTCTTGACTAGTGACTAGGAGGTGCAACATTGGTAATGACCACTTTCTCATCATCTGCAATGCGTTTAGGACCTGGTCCCGTTGAGTATATCGAGGACTCTCGTCCAAGGCGTCGAGTTAGATATACACCTGATGAAACCTTTGTATCAGATTTCGGACATACTCGATTAATAGTGCCATTGGAGGTGCGGCTGCTTGGGTGGAAGTCCGCATCCGCTCGAGGACAGCTTGACCATCGGAAAGTTGTCCAGATAGCTATAAGAGCAAAGCTCGTAACGCTGCAGACTCATCTTGTTTCAAATCCTCGCTGAAAGTGAAGTAGAAAAAAGCAATGCCCGCATTTACACTCGAGCCCTTCTGGCGGAAAGCGTGTTGGATGGCGGTTGCGCATAAGACTGACTTGCCACATCTGCAGGGCCATTAAGAAAAAGGAAGGAACCATCTTGCTTCAGCCATGTGGTAAAATACGGGCTGTTGATGAACCACATGCCTGTGCCTAGGTGGCCTTTAGCGCATGCAGAATTGAGGTCAACGCTCGCATTTGGCGCTTTAAGCCAGTCACGGACCGACGATGAGATCTGCGTTGCATTCACGAGCGTGAGAAGCAGTCTAAGCTCGGCGATATCGTCTTCAGCCTTCTTCTGATTTTCGAGGTGTAGCACGTCTAGTGCCAGTGATAGGTTATCACGTATCTCCCCAACGTCTTCATCGAGTTCTGGAGCGTGATTTGGCGGAACGGATGTGCTGCTCGTCGCCCTACGATTTTGATAGCGCTCTTCACGTCACGGGCAGAAGCTTTATTGAGTTTTCCATAATCATCTCGTAGTTCTTGAATAAGTTCTTCATTGACTGGATCCAAGACTCGATGTTCCGGGTCAGATTCTGTTCATCAGGCTGGAATGTATGATTTTCAGTGTACCCTCCAGACTTCGGAACGTTGTCAGCAGATTTTCGAGCTTTGTGGTAGGTCGAGCTACATTGGCGTCTTGGATCTTGTATGAAGTGTAGAAAGCAACAAGAGATTCGGCCACTTGGATGTCAAGCGATATCAACCCGCCGACCCAGTCGCAATAGAAAATGGGTCCGTCATAGGTGCTGGACTTGACGAGAGATGAGTGCTGGATGAGAAATGGAGATAGAGAGCCAGAGGGGTGGGAGGCAGCCTGGAGGGAGCAAATGAGGCTGCAGGCAGAAGGGGAGGGAGGACCCCGTATGGTGTGGTTGAAAGTTCCACGCCGCTTTAGCGCCCAGAGCAGCGACAAGCTCGACGCAAAGTGTTGCCCCCAGGCTGAAAGTTCAACGCCGCTTTAGCCGACTGCACCGCCTCGCCCGGCTCAGCCTCGAATGTACAGAGCATCCATCCATCCGTCCATCTTGAGGTAGGGGTTGAAAGCTGGAAAAGTTTCTCGGACTGTGTCCATGGAAAGGATCTAGCGACAAGAAGAATTGGGTCGTGTCTATCGCAGAGTGGCGGTGCAGAGACAGCTTAAAGTGCATCTTGCGCCCTAGGCTTCATGCCTACCGAAAGAGCTATCCGACAACAAGAACCAGTCCCTCAGAGTTCCCGCACTGCATTATTCTCTCGTCCATTCTTCACACATAACCCTGCCGCGTAACGATATTATATCCCGGATCTTCGATCTGAATGTCTGTTTTGGCCAGGAACTCTAGCGGCATCTCGACAAGCATACCCCTTATCTTCGCCAGTTCCTCCTTCACAGCTGTGACACCTTCATCACCTCCCGGGAAGTTATCCTTCATGACATGTCCCCACTGGGCCATGTGCAGGCCGTCCGGCCCCGTGAAACGCTTCCAGAACAACATCTGATACTGCAACCAGGTTTGCGCCGTGTCGTCCGGCATCGGCGAGAAGACTTTTCGAAAAGCCAGCGTGTTCTGCTGCGCCACGTCGTTCCAGTGCTCGAGGAACTGGTCGCTGAGAGGGTCTGAGACGAGAACGTCTTCCTTTGATCCAAAATCATACTCATTGTCGCCCGGAGCAGGCGTGAAATGCCCATCTGGCTTCCGCATGTCCTGAGGAGAGAGCAGGCCCAGATGTTTTCGGAACAGATATCGGCGTAAGCTGGCCGCGAATCGGCTGGCTTGAAATGGCTGCCCGTTCATTGCGGTGACGACTGGCGTCGGATCCTCGATCACCAATGCAATCTCCGAGTCTCGACTCCCCTTGAGGGACCTATCGTTTAAGTTTGCCGAGCCGCAGAGAACAACTCGGTCATCTGCGATCAGCACCTTGGAATGCACATAGAGTTCTTCGCTGACAAAGGCGTCGATTTCCTTGATGGGGCCACCTCCTACCCATGGGACCTTCCGGATGTCAACGCCCCCGAGCATATAACAAGAACTGACAGAATCCCAGCTGCTGTGTGCGTGGCCCGTCGCACTCTGGTACTTCTGGTAGGCCTCATGGTTGCGAGTGACATCGTCACCTTCGAACTCACCCACCTCTTTCTGTGCCCGCAGTCCAAAGGGGTCAACTATATCGTCGTGGTCCTGGCTAGCAAGTTTATACTCGACTCCACTAGCCTTCTCCGCCTTCTGCATCACCCCGCTCTCATTGATCCGGTCATAGTTCCGAAGGTTGTAGAATCTGATGTACTCCTTCGGATCGACGCCGGCTCGTTTGATCTTGTCCATGATACTGAACCCGCCGCGAGAGATGGACTTGTATTGCAGCTTCATGATCGCCCGGGGCGGGTGGCCTGTAATCAAGGCTTGCAGATCGCCTGGAAAAGCTGGTACGGAAGGCAATATTACGATGGCCTTGTACCGTTTCTTCTCCTGGGCGGCCCGCAAAATTCGCTGCACGAGAGCTTCGCCGACTCGGTTCCAAACCGTTCCCAGCCAGGTTCCCGTCGACGTGATGAAGAATTGCTGCTCAATGTATACGAAATGCTCGCTCTTCTTGATTATGTCGATATACGCATCGTACACGCTGTGCTCAAGCGTTGAGCCGCCACTCCAGTTGCCGATGCTGCGAACGAGTTGGCATGTCATTGGACCTGCAGGTTGGTGCGACGGATTCTGCGCAGGTTGATCGCTGATGGGTGAGAGACGTTCGTATCGCGAGTCCCGTGGTAGGCCCGTGTTGTATTTCATGCTATGTACAAAGTTCCAACGTTCAACAAAATGCTTGCAGAGGTCGGCAACTGCCGGCCCAGTCAGGCTGATGGAGATGTCCTGCCAGCCCATCCTTGAAGTCGTCAACCGACTGAGTTTGTTGTGCTCCCAGTTATCGAGGTTTTTGAAATCCATAACTCGGGCATTGTTGTAGTCTTGGCCGGGGAAGACGATGTCGTCGAGATTTCCAGGATGAGCGTCCGCGATGGGGTGCTGGATTGTATCCCATCGACCGTAAGAGAGGTCGATACCGCCCATGAAGACGGTCTCTCTGTCGCAGATGACAAGCTTCTCATGATGTGCCCAGAGCAAAGTCGGTCCACCGGCCAATGCAAACAGGTTCTGCAACGATTCGTCTGAGATCTTACCCAAATTGGCTGCACCGCCGGATACCGTGTTTTGCAGCATGCTCTTTGTCGACGACAGGACCCCCTTGGCACCGGTATAATGGTCTGGATATCGAAAGACAGCGATATTAGGGTGTAAAGCCTCCAAAGCGCGTTGAGTGTGGTGCGACGAGACTTTAAATGACAGCAATTTCAGCACGACAACTCTTTTCAGTGGAGATGATCGAGCCCAGTGCTCGCTTTTGAAGATTAGTGGGCGTAAGACTTACGGTACATGAATTGAGGGACTTCCTTGAATACAATGATATTCACCTTGACACCTCGCTCGGCAGCGGCCAGAAGCATCCGATCGAGTCGGTACTTTTCATTCTCCGATGGCGGTCGCCGAAGATATGCTTCTGGTGAAACCCACCCTGGTGTGGTCGTTCAGTCTCATCCCATTTTGATGTGCTCCAAATCACAAGAGAGTTGGGAAGTATTATACATACACCCAAGGATCCAAATCGACTCTTTGGCCTTCTCCAATGCTTCAGAGACAGCCCAGAAGTAAGCGCACCCGCTGACATGATATTTGACACTGTTGCCCTCCGAGATGGGCGCTGAACTGGAATATCGGTGCTTGGGGTTGGAATCTTTGCTGGTGACTATGCTGGTCACGACATTGGTCACACTTTCGAATCCGAACTTGCTGGTGACGCTTTCTAAATGGGTTGTACTTGTGCTGATCACGGTGCTCTGAACGCTTTTGGCGGCGCTGGTGGCTTTATTGAGGAGGTACGACATGTTTCTCGCACTGATGTTTGCTGCCAGGACGTGTGGTTGCTGGGTGCGAGTGCTGAGGCTGCAGCTTTATACGTCCAAGACCATCCTTCTAGGACTTAGGTCGTTGTTGCAGCTGCAGAACAAACCACTAACAGAATAGATCATTCTGCGCGAAACAAGTCAACCAAGAACCAAGAGACCCAACAATGCTGGCCTGAGAGGATATCTCGTGCCTTGATTAGCACGCTGGCTACGGCTCCTGTCTGGGCCAAAAGGACGAACGGCCCTCCCGACCATGCACGAAGGCCAATCTTGAACATCCCACCCATCATTCAAGTCGTTGTCCCGCGTTCAGCATGGCTCTCGTAGTAGGCCGGCTCAACCTGCACAGGAAACGAAGCATTTACCCCACCATTGACACAAACCTGGACGGGCGCCAATGCCGCGACCGGCAATGGCGCTGGCACATCAGCGCTTCACCGCGTACATAGGCATTCCGTTGAGGAAGCTAGAAGCCGCCGTAGAGAGCAAAAGCCCGCATGAACCTTATCTGTGACTAAACGTACAACCAGAGACTTCTGATGTGGCCATATCAAACTCAGCCCTCGAAGCCACCACACTCGACTTGGAATCCTGCAGCACTTTGCCCGACCTTTCTAGAGGGAAACAGGCGAGAAAGAGAACCATCCAAGCGAGCAGCGAAGACGACTGCGGCTCGCTCAGGACTGAAGTCAGGCGTCACCAGCGTCTCCATTGGGCCGCGTCGTCGCACCCAAAGTGTCTAGGACGGAGTTAGTTCCAAACATTTCACATCGTGGCTGGTTGGTTGTGGTTTGTAGCTTCGTAACGGTGTAGGCGACGAGTGGTGGTGGGTTTTACGTAGAATATCGACAAATGCGGGGGTGAGACGACGGAGTCTCCGTCCATTTTTACGTGGTACGTTCCGCCCTGCCGTGCATTTCCCCGTCGTGTTTGGGACTCGAAGAGAGAACAGCTAGCTGTTCTATTCTATCCCAGGGCTGAAGCTTGACCTTCCTTAACCCTGTGGCCTTGGCCATGCCTGGGCCCGGATAAAGATCTACGTAAGAATAGTATTACTCGGTATAGCTAGTGCGCTCTGCAGGTTCAGGTTCAGGTTCAGGCTCAGCCCCAGCTGCTCCTTGCTTCACATACTGCATGGTTTCTTGTTTAGGAGTTTTGCTTTGCTCTAAGGCTGATTGAACCAACCGTACATACGGGCGAAACAGCTGGGAGGACGGAAGGACTGACTGAGGGACTATATCAACCAGCACCAGGATCTCCGTACCGAGGAGGAATCCTGGCTCATCGATAGTATATTCGTAGTTGCGATTGTTATCGCATCGGGCTCCTCCTCTGAGTTGGCAATCTCCAAGGCCTTGGGGAATACGTATCTCCAGAAAGACCGAGTGAGAATTTTGAAATCTTGATTCCATATCAACGACGCTCAAGACAACTGTCGACTGGCTCCCTTCTTCTCTAAGCCTTCTCGCCGCGCCATATTGAAATCCTCAAGATGGTATTCGGCTTCAACCGCATCAACATAAACAGCTACCAGAACAAAAACCCCGACCCGTCCGTCGCCATCTACCCTGCCCTGCACGCATCAGACGCACCATATTCCATCCAGGAGCTACCCTTGCGATCAGCCATCTTCGTGCCCGCGGACTTCAATCATGGGACTGACGGCAAGACGCCCGTGATCCTGGTACCCGGAACGGGCTCGTACGGCGGCGAGGCGTTCGAGCACAACTTCGCCAAACTGCTTCGTGCCAGCACCTTTGGCGATCCGGTGTGGCTGAACATCCCCGGCCGCATGTGCGACGAGGCGCCCAAGAACGCCGAGCATGTCGCCTATGCCATCAACTACGTCGCAGCGGTGTGCGGCGGCAAGAAAGTTGCAGTTGTGGCATGGTCGCAGGGAAACCTGTCGACGCAATGGGCGTTGAAATACTGGCCGAGCACCCGCGCACAAGTCAAGAATTTCGTCTGTCTCTCGGCCGACTTTAAAGGGACGGTCCAAGCCTGGGGCCTGACGCCGCTCCAGGGTACGGTGCCTGGAACCCCCGCCGTGTGGAACCAGACCATGAATTCCAAGTTCATCGCGACACTGCGTTCTAATGGCGGTGACTCGGCTTATGTTCCCACGACATCGATATACTCGGCGACGGACGAGGTCGTGCAGCCGCAATTCGGGTCTCACGCGTCGGCCTTTATGAAGGATGAGAGAAAAGTGGGAGTGACCAATTGCGAATTGCAAGTCGCCGCGTTCATGAAGCCTGCCGGGCTGGCGTACTCGCACGAGGGTGTCATGTACAGCTCGCTCGCCTGGGCACTGGCCGAAGATGCCATCAAAAATGGTGACCCCGGCAGCTATGAGCGGATAAACATGGCAACTGTGTGCATGCACAGAAAGGCGCCCGGGTTGAGTCTCTTGGACGCGACGCAGACGCAGGCCCTGAGTGGGTGGTGTTTGAAAAGCATCCTGCTCTTTACGCCCAAACCCTGGCGTGAGCCGGCCCTTCCGCTGTACGTCGCGTCGGAAAAGATCAACTATGTTGTCGAAGAGGTTGTCATGCCCGCGAAGCCAGTGGTGTCTGTGGCTGAGACGGAGATCTTTGAAGCAGAGGTCGAGGTCGTTGCCAACTAGCTTCCTTGGACAGCGGCGCTGGGAGTTGTCTGGGGTCTTGTATGTTCGTAGTACGAGTTGGATCTTGACGCTTTGTAGTATGGTGCCTTCACGAAGATATGAATCTCATCGTTTGACACCCCACAGATCAGTATCATATTCCAGATGAAGCGAGGCGCGAGCATTCGATTCAACAAGAGGTTCCACTGCCGAGATTCGGTCGTGGCGACAAGCCTCAGGTCTCACGCGGGCGTTGACCAAGCCGGTGCAACTCGACTCTTTCTGCGAACCTGGACGTAAAACCTGGGCAGGGTATTCGAGGGATCCATACGTATATGCTTAGCAGCTTAGGTGCAGAGCACTCAAACCATGACTCTGCGTAACCCGCTCGTGCCGCCGAGGACTCGTCTGCCCGTGATGGCACACCTTCCCTTCCCGCTTTCCCAGCTTCCCTCACGAGTATAGTGCTCTTTCTTCTTCGACTCGCCCTCGGCCTGTCCGTGTTCGTCCTGTTCTTCCTCGTCATCATCCTCCCACTCGCTCATCTTTTCACCTCTCATAAACGCCTCCTGTCGCTCATGCGTCCCTTCAATCCACTGGAATATGCACTTGTAGTCGAAAACATATCCAGTCTGACACGCGGCTGCTGTCGAGATGGGATGGAGACAGATGGGACAGAGGTCGCTCGACGGTGGCGGCGGGACTGTGAAGATTGGAAGGAAAGTGATGCTCGACACGGGCGGACTCCGTTTCGCCGTCGCGTTCTTTGTCGTTAACGTGCGCAGGGGGCCTTGTTGCTCCGGCACGATCTGTCGGGCGAGTTCCATCCCCGAGACAATCGGAGGCGGCAATTCCAACCCTTCTGCAGCTTTTCTGGTCAACTGCCGAGAGAAATCACTGGCATGCCACCATTCCAAGAACTTCAACGCGAAGATACTCGTCGGCAAGAGAATCCTCAAACTTGACAACAACCGGGAATACATTGTCCGTGGATTGAAGATGCCGCTTAACCCTTGTCCCGGTCTCCCAGCAGCGCTGGCAGCAACAGCTTTATCGGCAGCCTCTCTCGCCGCATCAATGGCCTGCTGATCCGCCGCGCCCATCCTCCTCATCCTCGTCCCGACCATCCACAGAAATGGGCTCGAGTATTTAGTCCCGTCAAACAAGTATCCCAAGCTAAAGGCTAAGATGCTGAAATAGTATGCCGCATTTAAACTCGGGTAGACGTGCCGTAGGAACCACTTGTAGTACCACATAATCCGTTGTTTGACTGTTGGATTTGGCGGCAATGCATCTCGGTCCAAATACCTCCTTCCTTCAACTCCTCCTAACCCGCCTCCACCACTGATCAGCAAACCGGCCGACGGCGCGATATGTATATCATAACTCTCATCCAACTTCCTCTTCAAGTAGGGTATGCCGACCAGCACGGCGAGGTTCTTCCACACATCCCGGCCCTTGAGCTTCAACCGCTCCCTAACCTCGGCGGGGACCGCGAGCTGTGTCCTCTTGACCTCGCCACCGCGCACACTGAGCACCCTCTCCCTCTTCAGGCCGTAGAAGTTCTCGGTGAAGCTGCCCCCGAAGTGCTCGAGGTAGTACTTCTCGACCGCGAGAGACAGGAGCGCGTACACCTCGTCGTAGTTGTTCAGGATGCGCAGCAGGTACCGCGGGTACCGGTGGGTCAGCAGGGCGAGCAGGTACCGGATCGTGGGCGGGAGGAGCGACGAAAGCTGTTGCTCCGAGAGCAGTTCGAACAGCGACGGTTTGAGGTCGTCGACCGGCGACTGCAGGGTCGAGAGGTATTCCATGTTTGCTGGCTGCAGGCTGATCGGCTCGGAAGAATGGGTTGGTGTCTGCAGTACTCTGTGTATGTGTGGTGATAGAATCAAACAGACGACACCGTGATCATCCCCGTAACAAAGGCACAATGGCAGTCTCAAAATCAACACGCCGCAGTCTGGGAAAGGGATATGTCCTCATGAATCCAATATCGAAAACTGATGCTGTGGAAGACTGATTTTCTGATGTGTTGGTTCGAACCTCGGCTCCATCATCGGTCCTTAATTCACCCGAGAGTAGAGCAGCATAATACGTACTTGGTAGTATAACCCGTACTCGGTACAGATATTTAGATTGACCACCCCTTGACCTCCTTGACTGACATAGATACACTCTGTTATGGTTCTTTGTTCCTTCATGCCATCCGCACAAAGGTCTCTATACTGAACGACTATCCAAGATGCCGACCTAGGTACTCGGTACATCTTACAGTATACAACTCTCGAGTCCGAACACCGTTGGCCTGGAAACTATGATATCAATCAAATAGCACGCAATTGGTCATCAAACGCCTTCAACCGCTTGATTCTCT